GGAAAGAGAAAATGGGCAGTGTGCTGCCCAGGTAGGTAGGCACTGATGGCCCCTTGCTCTCCCCCACAGTGGTAGGCGTTAAGTTGGACCTAGAGGCCTGGGCTGAGAAGTTCAAGGTGCTAGCCAGCAACCGTACCCACCAGGACCAGCCTCAGAAGGTATCTGGTCAGGGATGAGGGCAGTAAGCCCAGAAGCACCCATTCTGGAGTCCCCAGGAACCCCTACCAGTCCTCCCACTCAGAGTGGCTCTGGTGCCTATGGGGAGGCAGGGTCCCCGATGTATAAAGGGTGATGGGAGGGGAAACACTGGTGGGCACTTACGGTCCTTGCTCTCTGCCCAGCAGTGCGGCCCCAACAGCCACTGTGAGATGGACTGCGAGGTTAACAACGAGGTGCGTGTGCCCTGAACCCTAGCTTACCCCACTCCTGGACACCTGAGTCCCAAATGCAGCTCCTAGCCCATCCCATCCCTTAGCCAGTGGGTCTCAACATCCCACCCTGACTTCACAGCTTTACCAGAACTGGGGGAATGGTGCCGCCTCCACTCAGCTACTGGACTGCCAGGGTCTGTGGAGGAAAGGCTGGGCTGGAGCCCCTCCCCATCTTCCTCCCCCTTTCCCACCTCTCAGGACCTGCTCTGTGTCCTCATTGATGATGGGGGATTCCTGGTGCTGTCAAACCAGAACCATCAGTGGGACCAGGTGAGGGTCAGGAAGAGGGTGGAAGGAGAGGGTCCGGGTTTGAGCCTTCTGGTGATATGGCACTGCCAGCCCTGTGACTACCACTGCCTCCCGGCATCCCCAGGTGGGCAGATTCTTCAGTGAGGTGGATGCCAACCTGATGCTGGCACTCTACAATAACTCCTTCTACAACCGCAAGGAGTCCTACGACTATCAGGCGGCCTGTGCCCCCCTGCCCCCGGGCAACCTGGGTGCCGCACCCCGGGGCATCTTTGTGGTGAGCCCCAGCAATGCCTGGCCTGCAGATGGGGGAACTGGGAGACCTGCCCACAGATGACCCCCTACCTCTAACGAGAAAGCTGGGGGTGAACCAGGTCCAGGGGCAGCAGTGGGAGCCCATGCCACTCTCTCCACTGCAGCCCACCATTGCAGACTTCCTTAACCTAGCCTGGTGGACCTCTGCTGCGGCCTGGTGAGTCCCCAGGGGAAATGGGAGAGGGAGGGTGCTCCCTGGGCAGGAGGGCTGGAAAGAAATGGGGCACGGTACTGACCTCTGCTGACCACTCCCACTCGGTGACCCATGCCCCGCAGGTCTTTGTTCCAGCAACTTCTCTATGGTCTCATCTACCACAGCTGGTTCCAGGCAGGTAGGTAGGGCTTTGGAGGTCCCTCCTCAAAGCCCCTCCCCAATCTGAGACCTACTCCAAAGGGAGGGCGGGGCTTACGGCTGAGCGAGGCTCAGGGTGTAGGGGTGCAGCTGAGGGGCTCTGGACCCTCGCAGACCCCGCGGAGGCCGAGGGGAACCCCGAGGTGCGCGAGAGCAGCTGCGTCATGAAACAGACCCAGTACTACTTCGGTTCGGTGAACGCCTCCTACAACGCCATCATCGACTGCGGAAACTGCTCCAGGTGCGCGCGCGGAGCTGGCCAGAGGGGCGGGGCCGGGCCGGGGCTGCAGCGGGGAGGGGAGGGGA